TGCTAGACAATTTGTGCGAGATTGAGGAGTATCAGGCACAAGAAAAGGAAAGTATTAGCAATTAGACACGGAAGTATTCCTGATGTCGTCAGTTGCAAGCACACTTAGGATGGACTTAAGAGTGCTACGTTTAAGGTGCTGGTTTTTACATCGATGCGACCGAGCCGAAGTGGAGCAAAAACTATCGAATGTATTCGTACATCACCAAGGAATTACCAAAGCTCATAAATTCGACATTTAAGGAATGCGATCAGCAGAGACAAGGCATCTTCGGCCATAGTATGGGAGGACACGGCGCGATTATGATTGCTTTGAGAAATCCGACTTTATTCCGAAGTATTTCTGCATTTGCACCCATTTGTAATCCGAGCAAGTGCCCTTGGGGTAAAAAGGTATCCGTAGTATTTTTATTGAAGAGTATTCTGCCGACTTTTTATCTTTTTTTTTGTCACCGATTGCAAGAAATTGCCACAACAAAGGAGAGAGATTTGATAGAGATTGCCATTGATNTTTAGTCGAGCTATAAAGCTGTTGCGTTGGCTTGTATTTTTTTATCGTAATAACGTAGAACAGAATTTGCTGACGGTGATTTTTTTATTTGAAGGCATTTAGCGGATACTTGGGCAGTGATGAGAGCAAATGGAAAGAATATGATTCAGTTGAGATTTTGAAAGAGTATAAAGGAGACGCGAGGAAAATACTGATCGATCAAGGGGAAGAAGACAACTTTTTGAAAGATGGACAGTTGCTGCCGCAAAATCTTGAAGCAGTTCATTCTGATAAGGTTTCATTGTTTTTAACGATATTAATAATGTTATTATTAGATCAGAAGCTCATTTGAAATCGAATCTGTGACGGTGAAATTATGTTTAAGATGTCGATTGGTTACACTGTATCGTCGTGCTTATAGCAGTTGTTTTCAGGTGAAAATAGAAGTGCGATATCAGAAAGACTATAATCACTCGTATTTTTTCATTGCAACGTTCATGGAGGATCATATTCGTTTCCATCACGATATTCTAACAGCAATTTGATCTTGTTTAGGGTTTCATGAATATAATGTGATTGTATTAGATGATAGTCGTAAGATGCATTGAACGTTTGTAACATCTTTTGTTGTTTGCTGTAGTTTTCGTGTTTTCTGTGCAGCAAAGTTTTAGATTACATTCGGAATTTTTTAATTAAAATCAGTTAAGGTGACAGGGTTTTGTGTTGTTGCTTTGTTGTATGTTCGAAGTGAAGTTGAATTATAATTCTGCTCTATCGGGTCCGTTTGAACTCGTTCCAATCGAACGTCATCAGAATACTTAATGAATTGTCTAAGAATATGTTTAGAATGTGAATTCAAAATCAGTTTCAATTGCTTCATCACATGGCTAACCTTTTTTTCTCGTTGAAAGCTCTTCCTCGTATTTAACATTGTAAGTTGTAAATTTCAAACTTCGTAGTGGAATAAAGTTTGGCATCGTAAAACTGCGTCGGAATGAAATGAATGAACTCAATGAATTCTTGAAAGAGAATGAAACAGAAACATAAGCAAATGCTGTTGGGACGAAACTGTTATGTTTGTAGTGCTTTACATGGTTTTGCGAATTCCTTTCTTCTTTGCACTTTCTGAATAATACAAATAAAAAACACTATCCGGAGATTGATGCGTGTTCCGGGCAAACTTCGGGACAAACTTACTGTAAGAATGGTACACCCGATAAGTGTTGAGGGAGATGGCATAATAATACCGCTCAACTAAATGATGGGATAATGGAAATTCAGTTCTATTACGAAAGCTGTCCATATTTAGTCGATAACATGTATATTTTCTTGAGACCACAGCATCTTATGGGTCCAAATGTGTGGAGAACCGAGATGCTCGAAGGAAAAGTTGAGGATAAACCTCATTGGAACATATCCCTGCATTATGGTATTGAGATCAAATGAACAGATTGTTCCGAAACCGTTCAGATACATGACAATGCTTTGGGAATTCTGCTATATCATTGAAACTGTGCATAATCAATGGACAACAAATATACTTCTCTGAAGCCAGGGATTCATCTGCATTCAAATTTTTTTCGAAGATACGTGCTCCCGGGCAAACTCGAGCAAACCTAGTTTGAAAGTAGTGCTTTGGATGTGTATCGAAGGTATTATTGCTTAGGGCAATTCAGGAATATTTCTGAAACCATACATAATCTGTCGGCAACACATATAATTTTCTGAAAGCAGAGAAACTCTTCAATTCGAATATGTTAGAAACTTGCGAGTACACATTTAATGTGATAAAAGAAAAAAGTAACGCATCGCAACATAACGCTATCAGCCGTTATCCTTTTATCGGTACAGAATATTCCTCTTTGGCGGCAACTTTCGACCACCGCATGTAACATTTCCACGTAAACGTCTTTCGTTTTACGTTCCAAATAGGCGAATATTGCAGGGAATGACACGTTGCCTAAAATAATCACAGTTTTATGAAGATTGACAAAGTCAGAAAAATGTTTATTCCTTAACATAAGCAGTTTGCTGATATAGAAAGTAGCACATAATTGATGAAATTGCTGTTAGATGCTGACTTTGAAATGATATAAATATGTGTACAAGAAATGTTCAAATGAAATGCTATATCTGAATGTTTACATGTATTGTTGCACGTTACAGTATTGACGTTGCCAGCAAGGGGATATACGAATCTCTTGCGAGAGGTGAGCACTTTCCATCGACTGATTATAACAGAACGAAATTATAACAGAGCCTTTAGCCGAATTATTAATGGGTAATGTTTTCGTAAATTTAATAGAGTTTTTTCCCTCTCTGTTTTTTTCCCTCTCTTCCTTCTCCTCCTTGTCGACGTATGACACTACTGCACGGTAGGAGAGT